GAGAGAAGCAGAGGAGAACTACAGCAGGGAGATTTCACTGTTGCAGTATACAAGACATGTATAAAGCTAGGGACTAACCCCTCTCAGCAGGCTCCACCTATGGCAGAATTACAGTCAGGTCCATAAATATTGGACATTGACACAATTCTAACATTTTTTGCGCTATACACTACCACAATGGATTTGAAATGAAATGAACAAGATGTGCTTTAACTGCAGACTGTCAGCTTTAATTTGAGGGTATTTACATCCAAATCAGGTGAACGGTGTAAGAATTACAACAGTTTGCATATGTGCCTCCCACTTGTTAAGGGACCAAAAGTAATGGGACAATTGGCTTCTCAGCTGTTCCATGGCCAGGTGTGTGTTATTCCCTCATTATCCCAATTACAATGAGCAGATCAAAGGTCCAGAGTTCATTTCAAGTGTGCTATTTGCATTTGGAATCTGTTGCTGTCAACTCTCAATATGAGATCCAAAGAGCTGTCACTATCAGTGAAACAAGCCATTATTAGGCTGAAAAAACAAAACAAACCCATCAGAGAGATAGCAAAAACATTAGTCGTGGCCAAAACAACTGTTTGGAACATTCTTAAAAAGAAGGAACGCACCGGTGAGCTCAGCAACACCAAAAGACCTGGAAGACAATGGAAAACAACTGTGGTGGATGACCGAAGAATTCTTTCCCTGGTGAAGAAAACACCCTTCACAACAGTTGGCCAGATCAAGAACACTCTCCAGGAGGTAGGTGTATGTGTGTCAAAGTCAACAATCAAGAGAAGACTTCACCAGAGTGAATACAGAGGGTTCACCACAAGATGTAAACCATTGGTGAGCCTCAAAAACAGGAAGGCCAGATTAGAGTTTGCCAAAGACATCTAAAAAAGCCTTCACAGTTCTGGAACAACATCCTATGGACAGATGAGACCAAGATCAACTTGTACCAGAGTGATGGGAAGAGAAGAGTATGGAGAAGGAAAGGAACTGCTCATGATCCTAAGCATACCACCTCATCAGTGAAGCATGGTGGTGGTAGTGTCATGGTGTGGGCAGGTATGGCTGCCAATGGAACTGGTTCTCTTGTATTTATTGATGATGTGACTGCTGACAAAAGCAGCAGGATGAATTCTGAAGTTTTTCGGGCAATATTATCTGCTCATATTCAGCCAAATGCTTCAGAACTCATTGCCCGCCGCTTCACAGTGCAGATGGACAATGACCCAAAGCATACTTCAAAAGCAACCAAAGCGTTTTTTAAGGGAAAGAAGTGGAATGTTATGCAATAACCAAGTCAATCACCTGACCTGAATCCGATTGAGCATGCATTTCACTTCTGAAGACAAAACTGAAGGGAAAATGCCCCAAGAACAAGCAGGAACTGAAGACAGTTGCAGTAGAGGCCTGGCAGAGCATCACCAGGGATGAAACCCAGCGTCTGGTGATGTCTATGCGTTCCAGACTTCAGGCTGTAATTGACTGCAAAGGATTTGCAACCAAGTATTAAAAAGTGAAAGTTTGATTTATGATTATTATTCTGTCCCATTACTTTTGGTCCCTTAACAAGTGGGAGGCACATATGCAATCTGTTGTAATTCCTACGCCGTTCACCTGATTTGGATGTAAATACCCTCAAACTAAAGCTGACAGTCTGCAGTTAAAGCACATCTTGTTTGTTTCATTTCAAATCCATTGTGGTGGTGTATAGAGCCAAAAATGTTAGAATTGTGTTAATGTCCCAATATTTATGGACCTGACTGTATAATGTTTGCATGGTTCCCTCAATAAAGCCATTTTTGAGAGAATTCCAAGTCATTTTGAGGTGAGGTTGGAGAAATTCCTTCAGTTTCTCCTGAATTTGTTTAGGAATATCTTTGTGCCAGATATAATCTATGACCCTCATAAGCTCCATTATATCCAAACCACTTCAACTTTCCTCTCAGTTCTGAAGGGTGCCAACTCTTACTCCCAGGCAAGTTCGATACCTGTGGATGTTCATGCAACGTGTTTTAAGTTGTCTTTGTCAAGATGGAAGACAATGGGATCTAAAGGCTTGTCAAATAGGCTTGTGACAAAAAAAGTTTGTTACACTCTTCACTTTCAAGAGTATAAAAAGCTGTGTTCTTACCTGCTCACAATTCACTAGATAATTCCGGGATGGATACTAACCTTCTATCAAGAATAAAACAGGATGAGGATCAATATTCATCGACAAGCCCAGATTCAGAAGGAGACAAATAACTATCATAGTTCATGTGAGTAAATGTGTGTGTGTGTTAGATTTATGATAGCACTGTATATGTGTCTATATTCTCTCATTTGTGTGTAAATTTGGGGAGCTAAAGGTTTGGGGTTTGGCGAATGAAGAGCCTGCTACTGAAAAAATTGTATGTTCAGCAGATGTGAATGTCCTGCAAATGTGTACATTGCTGCTAAGGTCTAACAGACAAAATACAACATTCATATTTCACACTTTACCACTGAGCAGATGATTTGAGATGTTAGGTTTTACCCATAAATCCTTAATTACCTCCTTGGTGTCTTCTCAGTCAATGAAGACTGGAACAGAAAGTCCTTGGTCTACAATTCATCTGCCTCTTGCAGCTGGTATACTGTACAGTAATTACTCTGTGAAACAGAACCCCTGAATACTTTCTGGTTCTGTCATTCCCATTCACTGATCTTCCACCACCTCCCTCCTGACATTTCCTGCAGAGGACCCAAATGAGCTGTATGACTGAACAGCTTTTAGAATAGTGTATAAATAATTGTGGGCTTTTAAGGCTCTCTGCTTCATTGGCATTATTAATAGGGAAGTTGTTCGTTTTAGCACTTTATATACCATGGGTGGATGTCATAAGCTGTTTTACAGGCAGTGTTAAGCAGATGTTCAAAGTCAGCATTTATATTTGTGATAACATAGGTAGCAATGTGTGTATAGCACAAGTCGGCGCACAAGAACTTATCTATGTGTCTGTATGACCATGTATTTGTACATGCAGATTGTGTACACCAGTATTTGCTGCTGTATACACAATACCACTTTCACTTCTCTGACTATACACTATGCCGGCAAAAGTATTGGGACGACTGCCTTTACATGTGCATGAACTTTAATGGCTCCTGGTCTTAGTCCGTAGGGTTTCAGTATTGAGTTGGCCCGCCCTTTGCAGCTATAACAGCTTCAACTCTTCTGGGAAGGCTGTCCACAAGGTTTAGGAGTGTGTCTATGGTCTGGTGACTTTGCGAGTCTGGCCAAACTCCAAAATGTTCCAGCCTTTCCTCTGCAACCATGCTCTAGTGGACTTGGAGGTATGCATTGGATCATTTGACCATTATTTCAGAAGCACAATTTGTGAGGTCAGGCAGTGATGTCAGGCAAGAAGGCCTGGCTCCAGTCTCTGCTTTAATTCATCTCAAAGGTGTTCGGTCGGGTTGAGGTCAGGAAGGGCCCATCCCCAAACTGTTCCCAAAAAGTTGGGAGTATGAAATTGTCCAAAATGTCTTGGTATGCTGATGCCTTAAGAGTTAATAATCCCCCCTCCAGCAAACTTTACACTTGGCACGATGCAGTCAGGCAAATACCATTCTCCTGGCAACCACCAAACCCAGACACGTCCATCAGATTGCCAGACAGAGAAGTGTGCTCTAGAGTCCAGTGGTGGCATGCTTTACACCACTGCATCCGACACTTTGCATTGCACTTGGTGATGGCAGGCTTGGATTCAGCTGCTTGGCCATGGAAACCCATTCCATGAAGCTCTCTACGCACTGTTTTGCTAATCTGAAGGCCAGACGAAGTTTGGAGGTCTTTAGCTATTGACTCTCTCTAGACAGTTGGCGACTTCTGCGCACTGTGCGCTTCAGCATGTGCTGACCCCGCTGTGTCATTTTACATGGCCTACCACTTTGTGTCTGAGTTGCTGTTGTTCCCAGTTGCTTCCACTTTGTTATAATACCACTAACAGTTGATCGTGGAATATTTAGTAGCAAGGATATTTCACGGATGTACTTATTGCACAGGTGGTAACCTATCATGGTACCACACTTGAATTCACTGAGCTCCTGAAAGCGACCCATTCATTCACAAATGTTTGTAGAAGCAGTCTGCATGCCTAGGTGCTTGATTTTATACACCTGTGGTCATGGAGGTGACTGGAACACCTGAATCCAATGATTTGGAGGGGTGTCCCAATACTTTTGGTAATATAGTGTATGTAAGCTTGAGTGTGTACGCAACACAGTCCATTTTGGCATGTGCGGAGTAGTGTGTGTACAATCCATTTTTTGGCATGTGTGGAGTAGTGTGTGTACAGTCCATTTTGGCATGTGTGGAGTAGTGTGTGTACAGTCCATTTTGGCATGTGTGGAGTAGTGTGTGTGTACAGTCCATTTTGGCATGTGTGGAGTAGTGTGTGTACAATCCATTTTGGCATGTGTGGAGTAGTGTGTGTACAATCCATTTTGGCATGTGTGGAGTAGTGTGTGTACAGTCCATTTTGGCATGTGTGGAGTAGTGTGTGTACAGTCCATTTTGGCATGTGTGGAGAGCCATGCAGTGTGGGCATTACATTTTGCGTTTAGTTGACAAGGCAAGTAGAAGCTATATACAAACATAAACATGTGCCTCAGATACATTGGTGGTACTAGAAAAGAAGATATTTTATTCTATTTCGGTCTGTGTGATTACACATTATGTGCTCCTTTTTACAGATAATATCCCTGTCAGCACTAACCTTGAAGAAGAAACCCTAGGGAAATGGAATGATCAACTGCATCATCAAGAACCTGTCTCTATGACCTATAACCTCTCCCAGTGTTTTGGTGAAAGTATAAATGGTGAATTATATCCTGCAACTATGTGGATAGCAAGAGATACATCACCCAATGGTTTTGTTATACCTAGTTCTGATGGGAGAGCATTAAGCCCGATCACAGCCGTGCAGCAGATAGACAGTCCTTATAGCTGGTTCTTCTTTAATAAATCTTTCTTGAACTCGAACATGGAACCCAAACAGGGTAAACCAGGAGAGCTGAGGCCATACAAATGTTCAGAGTGCGATAAAAGCTTTACTGTCAAGTCTAACCTGATTAAACATCACCGTATTCACACAGGAGAACGTCCATACAAGTGCACACTCTGTTCCAAAAGCTTCAGCCGAAACTCGCACCTGATCACCCACCAGCGCACTCACACAGGAGAGCGACCTTACAAGTGCAATGAGTGCGACAAGAGCTTTATCCAGAACTCTGTGCTAATCCAACACCAAAGGATCCATACTGGGGAGCGGCCCTTTAAATGTGAGCAATGCAATAAGCGCTTCAGTCAGAAATCCTGCCTCATCCGTCACCAAAGAACTCACAAGAGATAAAGTTTGCAAAGATGGGCAAAGGTGCAAAGCATGTTTGGCATACAGGGATGTTTACATGTATGAATGTCAGTGTCATGGGACATGGCAGAATTTGTCTGATAGGACTCAAGCAATAACAGTGGTATAAAAGTATTAATTTTTTTTCCCCAGACGATCTCCAAGAACCAAGCCAGTTGTATAGTAACCCTTCAACAGTGCATTTTGTCTGCATTTTTAATGCATACAAACTTCAGATGAAACATTTCTCATTGTCGATAGATTTTTCTTTTTTTTTTTTCTATTCTTCAGGTTTTAACTGGTATCAGGATATCCTGACTCTTATATGTATAAACACATCATGTACATAAATACATCTTAAAGAGGAGCTATCTCTGAAAAGGGTTAAAGAAAAAAGGTCCATGTGAATCTTTCACTATACGTAACTTTTTGTTTTCTGATAAATATATTTTTTTATTTGTCTTGAAGCCACTGACAGCTAAGGGCCCAAAGGCACTTTCCTGACCATCTTATTCTTAATCCTGCTTGGTGCTCTGCAAAGTTTGTGCCATCCAACCAATTATCAGTTTCAGTACGGCTCTATAATATCACCACTTCCCCTCAGTAAGCCAGAATGAAGCATCTGTCTAAACTGTTAAGCCTGGTACACACCTTGAATTTTTTTTTTCTCAACCCAGCTGGCTGAACAAAACAAACCTGAGAGATCACTGTACTAACTAAGCGAAGTTAGTGCAGCAATCTCTGCTGTTATGCCTTTGTTTTCTGACAGGGGCACTCGAATGACAGTCAGTTTCTGCTGAATTGCCAATATTTAGACCATGTTTGCTCAGCTTTACCATTAAAATGGACCTGTATAGGCTTTGCTATATAGGTCATTCCTTGAAAGAATGGCTGAGTGCTATGAGAGAGATCTCCAACTAGAACATTATGGCAAGAGTTAGAAATCCTGTTCTTGTCTCTGTTTATTACGGAGTCTTTGTCACATGGTTAATGTGATGGACAGAGAAAACTTTGAAGAGCCAGAAATTATGTTGTAAGAGTAAGCCTACGTTCACACTAGCCTTGTGTGCAGGCGGCAGAGAGGTGTTTGGGAAGCGTTTTTTTACCGCTTCCCAAACGCCTCTGCCAACTCTGCACATTACAGCACATGGTGCTGTTCTAACAGGAGCGTTTGCGTCGCGTCGCGGCAAAACGGACGCCTCTGGTCGAGTCAGGAGGCTTTGAAGCCTCCTATTCTCGTCTATGGTGCCGCTCCGCAAACGCCCGGCCGGCGTTTGCGGTGCGGTTGCGGGGCGTTTGCGGAGCGGTAACACCACTCAAATGCATTATAGGCGCTTGTGGGGCGTTATTAACGCTCGGCAAACGCCTAGCAACCGCCGCTAAACCGCGCATGCGGCGTTTGCGGAGCGTTTGCCGAGCGTTAAAAACGCTCCGCAAACACCGGACCAACGCTTGCCAAACGCTATAGGGGCGTTTGGCAAGCGTTGGCAAAACAGCCTAGTGTGAACGAGCCCTAAGAAGATCATGCAAACATGGTACACCTGGGTCCCTGCAAAATAGTCAGTGGATTCAAAGCAACTAAAAATCTAATATTTTACAAAGTATGAAAAGGTTAATATAATTAAATATTTCCTTTATCTTTCACATGGAGCTTTTCTTTTAAATGTTTTTGTAGATAGCTGGTCTTTACTGTACGTTTGTGAATGTTTAAATGTAGCAGTTGTGAATAATTTTCCAGCTGTAAATACAAAAGAGCACATTTTATTAAAAGGCATGAATGTGCACTAAAATGCAAATGTTTAAAATGAAAGGTCTTAAACATGAAAATGTGATTTGGCTCTAAAAGTTATAAATGATACTCCCATAAATTGATCTTTTTTGTCCTAGTGGTCAGGTGCTGTGTTTCCTGAACTGCTGGGTAGCATAGACAGCTAAGAATATAACTGTCAAACTTAATTTTTTTTTTTTTTTTAATATTTTCAAGCTTGATAGCTTTCATCAGTGCATGGTATGAAAACAATGAATTTGTAGAATTATGCTCTGGGAACAATACAGGACCACAATTAAGGGTATGGTGAGCTGGATTAGGTTAACTTCTGTTTTATTGAGCCATTGCTTTATTTTACAGTACTTTAGTGGAGAGCTTTTGGTTCCCTTAAACAGTTTGTAGATGCAAAATACAGAATCTGACCCCATAGTACAGCACTTTCACTCATAAATCCTTTCCTGTCAGTCATCGGGCTTATTGTATGCTCTGCTATTGGCTTTAATGCAAACCAGCAAGCATTGATTGAAAGGGATAAAATCTTCGTTTTAAGATATACACTCACTGGCCACTTTATTAGGTACACCTTGCTAGTACCAGGTTGGACCCCCTTTTGCCTTCAGAACTGCCTCATTTCTTCATGACATAGATTCAATAAGGTGTTAGAAACATTCCTCAGAGATTTTGGTCCATATTGACATGATAGCATCACGAAGTTACTGCAGATTTGTAGGCTGCACATCCATGATGCAAACCCCTTTTAATGTTTACGCCAAATTCTGACCCTATCATCTGAATGTTGCAGCTGAATTCAAGACTCCTCAGACCAGGAAACATTTTTTCAATCTTCTTTTGTCCAATTTTGCTGAACCTGTGTGAATTGTAGCCTCCGTTTCCTCTTCTTAGCTGACAGGAGTGGTACCGAGTGCTCTTCTGCTGCTGTAGCCCATCTGCTTCATGGTTCGACGTGTTTTGCGTTCAGAGATGGTATTCTGCATACCTGGGTTGTAACGAGTGGTTATTTGAGTTACTGTTGCCCTTCTATCATCTCGAACTAGTCTGCCCATTCTCCTCTGACATCAACAAGGCATTTTCATCCACATAATTGCCGCTCACTGGATAATTTCTCTTTTTTGGACCATTTTCTGTAAACCCTATAGATTGTGTTGTGTGAAAATCCCAGTAGATCAGCAGTTTTAGAAATACTCAGTCACTTAAATCCCCATTCTTATTCTCGGTTTGAACTTTAGTAAGTCGTCTTCATCACGTCTAGATGCCTAAGGTTGCTGCCATGTGATTTGGCGGATTAGCAATTTGTGTTACCAAGCAATTTAACAGGTGTACCTAATAAAGAGGCTGGTGTGTGTACATGGATGTTATCTGGCAGTCCAAGAACTAACTATGAAAGATCTTTCCATAATCAGTTAACAGTGGCTGAATGTATGTGTTTATGCACAAATACCTGGCACTAGATTTCTTTTACAGTAGAATTCATATTGGACAAATCTGTTCAAATGATTGTTTCTTTCTTCTGTGATAGGTAAACTGAAGTTCCATAGAAATTCTGCCATTTTTCCGATCCATCATCATCCAGCATGGGCAGTTATGTCCAGTCTGTGGGTAGTGAAGTTTCAAATTATCTGATGTTTCCTGTGTGTTTCCTATAATTATATATATTTTACTGACACTCCGAGGTAAAATTTATGTCAGTTCTGTATGTAAAATCCTTTTATCTACCTTACCCAGAGGGTAATACTTGAAACTGTTTGCTGTAATAAATGACACAGACTTCTACATCTCAGACCTTTAACCCATTTAAAGCACTATACTGAATCAATTTTTTATTTGTTGTTTTTTACAACGTGGGAGAAACTGTATAAGTTCTTTGAAATACTAAATGTTGATTAAGGGTCCATTCAAACCTATGCACCTGTGATTCAGCTGTGTTTTATTTGTGATTTTAAATGCATGTTGTAACGTGTTATCATACGATTCCACATATATGTATTAAGACTTCTATGGACCTTACAAAGCTGAAAGAACATGAAAAATATTAAGACAGGTCATATTTTTGATGACCACGTATTTGTTGGAGTGTGTCATGATTATAGCTTCCCATTGGAATGAATGAGGCTACAGTGTGCATGAGCAGAACGGGAAAAATAATCAGACCGATCATATTTTCCATGATGTGACCACCATGTATTTATAATATAGATGGTTAATTTATTAAAGGTGAATAAACTATGCACTTTGAAAGTGCTGTTGCACTCTACAATTGCTTCACTTTGCAAACAATACCCAATCAAATGCAAGGAAAATTTAAAAGACGGCATTTTGCTTGTACATGATTGGATGATGGAAGTCGGCAGAGTTTACCTTCATTTATTAAGCTCTGGAGCAAATTCCCTTGCAGAGTGCAACTGCACTACAAAGTGAATAGTCTATTTGCCTTTAGAAAATCAGCGCCACAGACTGTGCTCACATGTTTTAGTGTATTCCAAAGATAAAGTGTGAATGGGCCCTTAACACTGCAACTGTTATGTTAATCAAAAGTAAGACTCCCCCGATTGCCTCTCGGGGGATCAGGAAGGAATTTTATTTCCATGCAGGAGCGAATTGGATCATGCTTTGCTGAGGTTTTTTGCCTTCCTCTGGATCAACTGTGGGTATAGGATCAGAATTTTTTTTTTCTTAATGGTTGAACTGGATGGTATTTTGTCTTTTTTCAGCCAAACTAACTATGTAAGCCAATAAACTGTAGCACTATTGCCACAAGTTATGTTCATATAGAGTGTTGAAATATGATTTATGCCCAGAGAGACATTTTTAGCTTTTTTTTGTAGGTTGGCATGCTCTCTACGGTTATTTGCTGTATGGGAGCATTTGTCAGCTGCAGATAAGTAATCTGACAACGTGACTAACAGGTACGTGTAAAAAATCGATCACTAGGCATCGTATATACTTGCAAGCCTGTTCAGGAATAACTGAAAAAGGTTAAGAATGCTATTAAATTTATCTCATTACTCACTGAAAGCTGGAGCTACAGTTTAAGCATACTGGTTATTAACCATCATCCTGTGATACCAATTCCATGCAGTTGGTAAACATGTTTATTTTAAGTAAACCTTCTGACAATGTTAAACCTTTAAAATTAAAGGATGTTACCAAGAGTATCCACTCTAAGGTATATTATTACTGTTATTAGCATTAGCTAGAAAACCTTCCCATGTGTCTC